AGGACCTGAACCCGTTCACGTCGGTAGGTCTTTGCTACAGGAGGTGGATCCGGTTTCAAGGGATGGTGTTTTCTGCTTCTGCTGCAGTAGTTTGTACCCTTGCATCCGTGTTTAACGTGCTTAGCGATGGGTGCTTTCCCAGAGCTGGTCCCTGTGCTGTTGTACCCCCCGTGACTTACTGAATTAGGGGCTGATTTACTTCTTGTATTATTGCTGGTTAGTGCTTGCTGATGTATCATTGTTTAGAGCATCAGCTTTAAGTCAAGAGGGCGTCAGGCAGCACAAGGTTAAAACCGATTCCTGCGTGTAAAACCATGTTCTCTTCTTCCTTGTAGCTGGTTGGTGTTCGTATTCCAAACCACCCTTTTATCAGGGACTTGGCACGAGCTTGCTCTGGACCACTGGCTCTGACAAGTGCTAACATCAGCTCTCAGGCCAGCACGCTGACGGTTTCGGTAAGGCTGGGTTTGCCCCTTAAGGGATGTTTCTGTGATAGTTTGTCAGAGCCCAGGGCTCCCACAGTTGGAAACCAGCTTGTGCAAAGCTTGTGACCCTGGTGGTGATACAGCACCAGACAGATGCCCTGTCTTTGCCCCCAGAGTCCTGATAGACTTCTGGCTTGCTTTGTGCACTCAAACAGTGGTGCAGTTAAGAAGGCTTCAACCAGGGAATCCTCCTGGCTTTCCTACACCTCTGAGATAAATCTGCTCTCAGAAATCAAACTGGGATGCCTTCATGACAGAAGAAAGGATGCTGCTCAGACAGAGCAAGGGGAGAGACCATTTCCCTCAACACCAGAACGTCCAGCAGTGAAGGCACAATCACAAACCACCTTCAGGACTGTTTGCCACATCTCTTTTATCTTTTTTTCCCTTAGGAATTCCAAGATCTGTGGCCTCAGTTGTCCTTAATCATCGATGGAGGCCCAGTCGGGGACGTTCAGAGCCCGGAGTGTCGCTTGGGATCAACTGTGGTTGATTTATCTGTGTCGGGGAAGTTCACCATCATTCGGCCTGGCTGGTGAGCTCGTGGTGCTGCATGTATCTGAGCTGCTGCTTCGCTTGAAATCAAACGAAGCTTTCGAGTTTGAGTGGGTCCTGGTTTGCTTCGTTTCCCATAGCAGATGAACCTTCACATTAACACTGTTTAGGTTAATTACCAGCCCACTCAGCAATCCTAAAAGAGCGCTCCAAATTCCCAGTACAGGACACCCCTTTCTAGAAGCTTCTAGTGAAACACTGGTTTCTGGAGTTCATGTTCCCCTTGATTCAGAATGCAGTACTGCATCTGGCTGATTGCTTCCCCCCCCAATGCAGTTTAACCCTTAAACCCCTTTTTTTCTGATGATTCTCCTTCACCCCACAGCGCTCTGACATCTACGGTTGAAATCCTGACGCAGAAGTATGGCTTGATACCAGAATCATCTTAAGATGTCAGACTCTGAGGAGCTGGTGAGGCTGGGCACCGTGTGCCTGTGCATTCAGGAAATGGGCATTCATGGCCTTGTTTAATAAGGTCGATGGGTTCTGTCAGGGTTAATAAACTAAAGATAGAAAAACGGAGCAGTAGTTGGTGGGTGTCTGTTGATTACTATCATAAAATCCCAGAGTGGTTTGGGTTGGAAGGGACCTTAAAGCTCCTCCAGCTCCAACCCCTGCCCCGGGCAGGGACACCTTCCACTAGAGCAGGTTGCTCCAAGCCCCTGTGTCCAACCTGGCCTTGAACACTGCCAGGGATGGGGCAGCCACAGCTTCTCTGGGCACCCTGTGCCAGCGCCTCAGCACCCTCACAGGGAAGAGCTTCTGCCTCAGAGCTCATCTCAATCTCCCCTCTGGCAGGTTAAAGCCATTCCCCTTGTCCTGTCCCTGCAGGCCCTTGTCCAAAGCCCCTCTCTCTATTTCTCGTAGGCCCCCTTTAGGCACTGGAAGACTGTTACAAGGTCTCCCCTTCAGGAGCCTTCTCTTCTCCAGCTGCCCCAGCCCAGCTCTCTCAGCCTGGCTCCAGAGCAGAGCTGCTCCAGCCCTCGGATCATCTTCAAACATCTGCTGTAGTCTGAGAAACCAACCCAAACATGTGCTGACCTCCTTGTGCTGCTGTATCATTCCCAAATACCTGTCTGTTCTGTTAACATGGTTAGACCTTGGAAATACAACTATTTGCACATTAGACTGTTCTCAGGATGGGGGGGGTGTGACCCACCCTCCCCTTAACCACTTATTCCATGTCTTTGTTTATTGTATCTGCACTGAAAGAAAAGCAAAGATGGAGAAGTTTTTGAGCTTTCACCATGTTACAGCCCTGTTGTTCTGTGGCTGGTTTTCTCTCATCTAACTGTAATCAAAACCCTGCTACTGAGATGAAGCTGTAAATGCTTTTGAAAACTAATGGTATTCCAATGGTCCCTGTCTAGAGAAGAGCTCAGAAGGACCTGGCTTCCTCCTAATACAAAGAATGAAACAAGCTCTTGATGTGCTGATCTTCATTCTTTAGATGTGGACTTCCCTCTCTTGGTTGTGTTCTGGAAACAGTGCTAAGGTGGGGAGTAAATAGGGAATGGATGAAAGTGTCTGCTGATATTTATCCTTCATTGAAAAGTAAAGTTAGTGGGGCTACTGTAGTTTAAAAACTAGTAAGTAACTTGGATGATTTTCTTATCAATGCTTATTTTTAGACATTGTTGCCCATCACTTTTAGGTGCTTCGTGAGAACAGTAACTCTGTGTGGTGATGGAGATGATCTCTGTCCTGACCATGGGAGCAGCCCGCAAAGCTTTCGTAGTACTTCCCACTGTTCTGAGCGTTGTGGCTGTTCCAGGGGCAAATGCTGGTGTCAGCATAGCCCAGGGTGATGCTGGGGGTGAACATCAGGTTGTTGGAGTCACAGGAGGTGTTGATTGCTTTCCAGTTCTGGTGGGATGAGCCAAAAGAGAAGCCACTGGATGCAAAGTGCACGTACACACCATTGTATCCAATGGAGAGGACAT